AAACCGTTGCCAAGGTGAGATAACGTTGGCGATGCCGTTCCGAGCGAGGCGAGTTTGACCGTCCGAGTTGGTCCATGGTTTATTAGTAAGAACCGTTATCGAATGTCGTCCTTGGCATGCAGTCTATAAACCGATTAGGTGCATACATTATTATGACTCTTTACAATGCACATGGCTCTCAGGCAGTGAGACAATCTAGTGCTGTTGTTCCAACTTCCAGCCGTTAGCGTTACATGCTCTCATCGATGCTTCAATCAATATGTTTTCATCTTCAACCTAGTGGCTGACATGAGTGCGACTTTCCTCAGTGTTTTACCATCTGGGATCTGGATGTGCGAGGCCACCATCACGGCCTCTGGCGTTTCCACTACTACGAAAACACCGTACTGATGTTTGCCGTCCCGCTCAACATGTACATGTGAGTCTTGTGATGTGCTGTCGGTTTTATGTTGAGCAGAGCAAAGGAAAAAAGATTTTGAACAGAATAGGTACGCTTTGGAGCGATATCTACAGTCTACACTTTGGAAAAGCTTGGGATAGTTATAAAAACGAGGTAATTCACTTTTACGTGCGGGCTTTTACGTATAAATGGGTTCATTACAGTGCCATGGCCCCCCATGGGATACAATACTCCTCATATCCCGGCTCATGTGCGGGTTATCGGGTTATAACATTATGCGCGGAAAACGTAATGGCTTATTGTATTTGTATTTTTATTTTTGCAGACATTTTTGCAGCTCCACGCATGTGTTTGTTTACAGGAATGATGTCATTCGTCTCTTCAAACATCCGGTGGATATTGTTCAGTCGCTGCAATTTGGAGAGTAAAAGGTGTTAAGCTCGGGACTATTTTTGAAAGAAACCCAATGGTGCTCGATTGAGGTGAACAGATGTTTGTTAACAATTACATAAATGTTAGGTGTGTCAAACTTCTGCCCCGGTTTTCGACGAAAGAAGCGTTTAGCCATTCTTACCTTCGACGAAGTTTCGGAACAATAATTCATGCAACAAGATTAATGTAATTATTTGTTTTAGGTATATCTATATGCTACGCAACGCGCAAATTTTGCACTAGTGTTCACAGAAATAAGCATAACATTTGTTGTCGAAATTTATTTCTCCTACCATCCACTGTAGGATCGAAGTTTGACTTAATTTCAGTTTGAACGTGGTTTATTGTCATTTGAGTGTGATATATTGTAACTGAAATGCTGTTTTTGTTTGTATTTTAAGAATATTTCCGTTAGTTATTCCGTTGAGGCTTATAAGTTCCAGAGCTAAAATCGTAAGCAATATTGTCTTAGCAGTGCACTTGTGCATGATTCTGGTTTACAAGAATAGTAAGGTAGGTATTATCCAAGTTCGTTGATCCTGAATGACCGATGGCCTAAGCTAATCCAGAATAGCCCCATTTATGTAACATTATGTTATTCTGAGATGTTATGGTCTTGTTGTCAGATTTATTGAAACTCTTATTCGAATTTGACTAATGAATCTTGATTTCGCCATTTCTGACACGGGAGTTTACTCGGATGAAATATGTTTCGTACCATTGCAATGGGGCGTGGTGCAAACGAAACGTCGCAAATCAGCAACATTTTGACAGAGCTGTGTCGTGTGCGTCTCAACCGTTTGTGCAATTTGTCAATAAACATACAGGAAGCGTCTTTTCTTTTATTTTATTTTCCGTCCAGCAATGCACCATTATGCATACCATAGATATTAGATAACATGAATCTAACCATGGCAAGGCTGGAAACTTACCGTTGGCGGGTTACTCGCGGGCATCTTGTTCACTATCTTCGTTGTACGCATGCTAAGAGTACTAAGCAATGCTAATTTGGTTGTAGTGCTAAGCGCATTATAACAATCCATGCTAGCTTTTATCCGGTGACTTACCATCTGCGCTTAAATAAATCGGGGGTAGCTACATGCGTCTATCTATATTTAAATATAAAAAATGAGTGCATGAAAAACGTGAAATCCCAAATAGGTAATGCATGTTTGACAAAGTATAACCACACGTTTGCGCAGGGGCTGCATGAATCTTCTTGCCGTTTCGCCTCTAATTAGTACATGCTCGGGGTGTTCACACCGCATGACCCACCTCAAGGACTATACACCCTGCTTTAGAGTAACACTTCGATGGTAACATTCACTGGAGAGTTTTACCGCAGTTTTCACCACTCGAACGGCCTGAGCATGGGCTGAGCGGCACGGCTCGAACCAAACTGGCACTTCACCCTTTTCCGCCTTATCATCGAAACGAAGCGTATGTATGTACAGGTCTCGCGGTAGGTTTTGCACTTTTACATTTCCGGTTATATCTCAGAAACTAATCGATCTACGATGAAGTATGTTAGCAAAGGCCGGCCAGGGAGCCGCTGCCCCGGCCCATCCCGCAAACTGCTAAGGCCCGAGGCGGCAGGCACCTTGGTTATATATGAAATATAGGAGGTACGGACACATCGCTAGTTCGAAAAATTCGCTTCTCAGATACGAGTACATAACCAAGAAACATTCTGCCTGATGTACAGGTCTCGCGGATTTTAGCTGGGGCATTCCACGATAGATTAGAGATGTCAATCGGATACCAACTTTTTGGTATAATACCGATACCAAACCGGTACCAACTTGGTATTTGGTATTTCAATCAATGTACTTGGTATTTTGTTGGTATTGTGAGCCCGCACCAATGTATAAGAGGCTGAGAAATTGGTAAAAAGTCGGTATTTCCCTCATGTTATGAAATTGGTTCGGTATCGGTATTTCCTCATGGTTTATGTTGGTATTTGGTTTGGTATCGGTATTCAGATTTTCTGTAATTGACATCACTACGATAGATCGTACCAGGCCCGTCACCCTCATCTCTCAGATTTTAATAAAAATCGGTTCTACACTGTAAACTCATTTTGACAAGGGGTTGTCGTACAACGACGAGCGTTTGTCAAAAATACTAATAAAGGTTATGTCGAACGACGAATATCTTGTCATAGTTGGTTGAATCAACAGGGCAAATATTAGTATCAGCCCCAGCACCTAGTCGACCATTCATAAAATTGACGAGGATTATGGAGGCTATTGTGAAAACTACCAGGGTCTTAGTCGTAATATGGAACATAGATTTGCTTATGATTTGTAATTATATCCTTGTCGAAAGAACCAGCTACACCATTGCAACAATACTGATACATACTTATGTAATCTATGTCCTTGTCAAAGGTATCAGCTACACCTTTGCAACACGGACTTAGTTACGCTAGTTAGACGTGTTAGTAGTAACATTTACAAAGCTGTTACTTGTTATATAGGTGGCGCCAAAAACGTTTCCGGCCGTTTCATTTTGAAAGTTTCAGTTGCGCACCAACCGCCGTGCAGTGATGTGGCCTCCTGCGCACTTCCGTGAAAATGGTAGGTGATAACAGTGTTCGGTCGTTTTTGTCATTTTTTAATGAAATGTATGTCTTTCAGCTGATAGTAATGCAGATTGAATCAGAGAAATTTGCTAAATAAGTGCGTGATGTATGGAAGCAAGCACAATGTGTTCTGCTCCAGACCATATTGTTCTGCATATGCTATAATATAGCGATGCTTTCTTTCAGGCTTTCATCAGGAGCGAAAGCTCCAGCTTGCAAGCAAGGGTCGCTATACACTGAAGACAGCAAACTGCAGAAACTCGAGAATTCTAAAAATGAAAAAGCACCTGAATTCCAAGGGGCTAATGAATTTGAATGCCCCTTAGATTTGAATGGGTTTACCTACCCCTTAAAATTCGTGTTCCGCAGACTTAGAAATAACATATTTCCGAATCAAGGCATTCCTCGATGTTGCGAGTCCCCAAACCAGTTATTGCGAGGCAGGGAACCCAAGTTGACTATCAACTCAAACCTACTGCATGTAAACGTGTGATTCTACAGTGTAGTCGATAAGTGATGACGCTCATTGCCTTTCCGCATGCGTTATTGCCCTTGCCCCTTGGGTCATGAGTGTCATCACCATTGTGTGTGTAATGTGTATGCATGTACCATTTTAAATACATGACCTACTTTCAGTAATGCTGTTTTGCTGTAATAATGAGACTGCAGAGCGGCGACCTGCGATTTGTGGAGAAAACTGACGAATACAAGGGAGGTCTTTGTAAAACGTTACAAACCTGAGACTAGTAGATTGCTTACAAGTACAGGTTTGCTGCACGTAGACATTACTATGCTAACTAAGATTTGCATTGATTTGACTTAACAAGTACACGGCTCAGCCCTGTTAAATGCAAACATGCGCAGGTCTTTACCTAGTAGCCGCATGATTATAACTAGGAAAACAGTCGTTCACACAACAATGACAAAGCAAACTTTGGTAGCTAGTCTAACGAACAACATGTGAGTGGGTTGTAAGAAAAACTACCATGACAAACAATAGGGTCGTTCGATGACATGGCAAAGGGTGCGGGGATTTGCGCTAAATAATTTTCCTTGTAAAAGTAACAAACGTTTGTTGAAATGAGTTTACAGTGACACTGTAAACTTTTACAAGGACAAACACAAACAAACGTTTGTGTTTTCAACAAACGTTTGTTACTTTTACAAGGAAAATTATTTAGCGCAAATCCCCGCACCCTTTGCCATGTCATCGAACGACCCTACTGTTTGTCATGGTAGTTTTTCTTACAACCCACTCACATGTAGTTCGTTAGACTAGCTACCAAAGTTTGCTTTGTCATTGTTGTGTGAACGACTGTGTTCCTAGTTATAATCATGCGGCTACCAGGTAAAGACCTGCGCATGTTTGCATTTAACAGGGCTGAGCCGTGTACTTGTTAAGTCAAATCAATGCAAATCTTAGTTAGCATAGTAATGTCTACGTGCAGCAAACCTGTACTTGTAAGCAATCTACTAGTCTCAGGTTTGTAACGTTTTACAAAGACCTCCCTTTATTCGTCAGTTTTCTCCACAAATCGCAGGTCGCCGCTCTGCAGTCTCATTATTACAGCAAAACAGCATTACTGAAAGTAGGTCATGTATTTAAAATGGTACATACACATTACACACACAATGGTGATAACACTCATGACCCAAGGGGCAAGGGCAATAACGCATGCGAAAAAGCAATGAGCGTCATCACTTACCGAGTACACTGTACCCATTCAAATCTAAGGGGCATTCAAATTCATAAGCCCCTTGGAATTCAGGTGCTTTTTCATTTTTAGAATTCTTGAGTTTCTGCAGTTTGCTGTCTTCAGTGTAGCGACCCTTGCTTGCAAGCTGGAGCTTTCGCTCCTGATGAAAGCCTGAAAGAAAGCATCGCTATATTATAGCATATGCAGAACAATATGGCCTGGAGCAGAACACATTGTGCTTGCTTCCACACATCACGCACTTATTTAGCAAATTTCTCTGATTCAATCTGCATTACTATCAGTTGAAAGACATACATTTCATTAAAAAATGACAAAAACGACCGAACACTGTTATCACCTACCATTTTCACGGAAGTGCGCAGGAGGCCACATCACTGCACGGCGGTTGGCGCGCAACTGAAACTTTCAAAATGAAACGGCCGGAAACGTTTTTGGCGCCACCTATATAACAAGTAACAGCTTTGTATATGTTACTACTAACACGTCTAACTAGCGTAACTAAGTCCGTGTTGCAAAGGTGTAGCTGATACCTTTGACAAGGACATAGATTACATAAGTATGTATCAGTATTGTTGCAATGGTGTAGCTGGTTCTTTCGACAAGGATATAAATTACAAATCATAAGCAAATCTATGTTCCATATTACGAATAAGACCCTGGTAGTTTTCACAATAGCCTCCATAATCCTCGTCAATTTTATGAATGGTCGACTGGGTGCTGGGGCTGATACTAATATTTGCCCTGTTGATTCAACCAACTATGACAAGATATTCGTCGTTCGACATAACCTTTATTAGTATTTTTGACAAACGCTCGTCGTTGTACGACAACCCCTTGTCAAAATGAGTTTACAGTGTATCACGCTCGTCGTTGTACGACAACCCCTTGTCAAAATGAGTTTACAGTGTAACGTAAACTCATTTTGACAAGGGGTTGTCGTACAACGACGAGCGTTTGTCAAAAATACTAATAAAGGTTATGTCGAACGACGAATATCTTGTCATAGTTGGTTGAATCAACAGGGCAAATATAAGTATCAGCCCCAGCACCTAGTCGACCATTCATAAAATTGACGAGGATTACGGAGGTTATTGTGAAAACTACCAGGGTCTTATTCGTAATATGGAACATAGATTTGCTTATGATTTGTTATTTATATCCTTGTCGAAAGAACCAGCTACACCATTGCAACAATACTGATACATACTTATGTAATCTATGTCCTTGTCGCAGGTATCAGCCACACCTTTGCAACACGGACTTAGTTACGCTAGTTAGACGTGTTAGTAGTAACATACACAAAGCTGTTACTTGTTATATAGGTGGCGCCAAAAGCGTTTCCGGCCGTTTCATTTTGAAAGTTTCAGTCAAGTTTCAGTTGCGCGCCAACCGCCGTGCAGTGATGTGGCCTCCTGCGCACTTGCGTGAAAATGGTAGGTGATAACAGTGTTCGGTCATTTTTGTCATTTTTTAATGAAATGTATGTCTTTCAACTGATTGAATCAAAAAAATTTGCTGAATAAGTGCGTGATATATATGGAAGTAAGCACAATGTGTTCTGCTCCAGGCCATATTGTTCTGCATATGCTATAATATAGCGATGCTTTCTTTCAGGCTTTCATCAGGAGCGTCTGGAAAGCTCCAGATTGCAAGCAAGGGTCGCTACACTGAAGACAGCAAACTGCAGAATCTCAAGAAGTCTAAAAATGAAAAAGCACCTGAATTCCAAGGGGCTAATGAATTTGAATGCCCCTTAGATTCGAATGGGTTTGCCCCTTAAAATTCGTGTTCCGCAGACTTAAAAATAACATATTTCCGAATCAAGGCACTCCTCGATGTTGCGAATCCCCAAGCCAGTTATTGCGAGGCAGGGAACCAAGTTGATTATCTTAACTCAAACCTAATGCATGTAAACGTGTGATTCTACGGTGTACTCGTAAGTGATGACGCTCATTGCCTTTTTGCATGCGTTATTGCCCTTGCCCCTTGGGTCATCAGTGTCATCACTATTGTGTATGTAATGTGTATGTACCATTTTAAATACATGACCTACTTTCAGTAATGCTGTTTTGCTGTAATAATGAGACTGCAGAGCGGCGACCTGCGATTTGTGGAGAAAACTGACGAATACAAGGGAGGTCTTTGTAAAACGTTACAAGCCTGAGACTAGTAGATTGCTTACAAGTACAGGTTTGCTGCACGTAGACATTACTATGCTAAATAAGATTTGCATTGATTTGACTTAACAAGTACACGGCTCAGCCCTGTTAAATGCAAACATGCGCAGGTCTTTACCTAGTAGCCGCATGATTATAACTAGGAACACAGTCGTTCACACAACAATGACAAAGCAAACTTTGGTAGCTAGTCTAACGAACTACATGTGAGTGGGTTGTAAGAACAACTACCATGACAAACAATAGGGTCGTTCGATGACATGGCAAAGGGTGCGGGGATTTGCGCTAAATAATTTTCCTTGTAAAAGTAACAAACGTTTGTTGAAATGAGTTTACAGTGATAATCATATACACTGTAAACTCATTTTGACAAGGGGTTGTCGTACAACGACGAGCGTTTGTCAAAAATACTAATAAAAGTTATGTCGAACGACGAATATCTTGTCATAGTTGGTTGAATCAACAGGGCAAATATTAGTATCAGCCCCAGCACCTAGTCGACCATTCATAAAATTAACGAGGATTATGGAGGCTATTGTGAAAACTACCAGGGTCTTATTCGTAATATGGAACATAGATTTTGTATTGTATTGTATTGAACAATCATGAGCGATCCACATTCTAAAAGTGCGTGGCGATTACTGCTCAGAATCCGTATCCGCGGTTACTAATCTAAACATTCACAGCATTCACACATTCACTCACGTCAAAGCACGGACTGAGACACTTTCGTAGTGCCACAGGTACAACTCACCCACCCACCAACCCGTTGGTCAGCGACGATCAGTTGATGCCCCGTCCACTATCGCGGCTTTAACAGATCGGGCAAAGGGGGCGGGAGACAGCTGCGACAGCTGAGTTGGGAGACTGTTGAGTAGAGCAGCGGCTCGATAGCCGAACCGCCGCCTACCCGTTTCCAGCCGTGGTCGCGGAAGGTGAAAGAGGTGGTCTTGCCTGGAGTGTCTCTCCCGGACAGCGCTGTTTGTGACGAACATGGTTGCCAATTCCTCGGGTTCGCCGCGCTGAATGGCTTTGTGGGCGATAACAAGGGTTTGGTAATCAGCCATATGACGCGGGGACAGCCACCCGAGCTTTTTTCGCAGGTCAGAGACATGGGCAAATTTACGGCGACCGAAAATGACTCTAGCAGCGAAGTTCAAAATTTTTTGGAGACGATCGAAATTTTTTTGGGACCCATTGCCATAAACTGAGAGGCAGTACTGGATGCGTGAGATAACGAGTGCTGTCACGAGCGTTCTAATGATGCCATCCGGGAGACTGTGGCGCGCATGGGAGAGACCGATCAACAGTCCCGTACACCGGCGACTGAGTTCGGAGACGTGAGCGTCCCAGGATAGAGTACTGTCAAAAGTGACGCCCAGGTTCCCCACCTGCGCGCACGGCTGCAACGCTGCGTCACGGAACGATACCCTGAAATCTGGCAATTTGCGTAAATTTTGACGACTGCCGAAGACAATGAGCTGTGTTTTACTGGCGTTGACCTTCAGGGCGTTAGCGCAGAACCATTCGTTGAGTGACGCGAGCGAAACCTCCATGCGCGAGATGAGAACTCCAAGGTCCCTGGCAGGACCGCTAACCAATACTTGGGTGTCGTCGGCATATTGAAAGACTACTGCATCACCCGCGTACAGCGATAGGTTGTTAGAGAAGATGGTGAAAAGTAACGGACCTAACGCAGAGCCCTGGAAGACACCCATGGTATTAGGAAGAGGCCGAGACAGCACTCTACTTCCGGACCCATTTTTCAACGACACGCTCTGGGTGTGTCCATGAAGATAGGCGGCGAACCAGGAAATTTCGATACCGTGCAGCATAAGTTTTTGCATCAGAAGCTCGTGGTCTATCACGTCAAAACATTTACTAAGGTCGAGAAGGCATAGCATTGAGATCTCCCCCCTGTCGGTGGCGGCCAGGATGCGTTCAGTGACGGACAACAACGCGGTTTCAGTAGAGTGCCGGGGGCGGAAGCCGTGCTGTGAGGATGCCAGCAGGTGATTGTGAGAGAGGTAGATGTAGAGCTGCTGATGGACAATGCGCTCAACCACTTTCATGATTACAGGAACCAGGGAAATGGGCCGGAAGTTTGCGGGGTCTGAAGGATTGCCGGATTTGAACAGAGGGTGAACTATGGAATGTTTCCATGAATCGGGGATGTCGGATTGAATTAAGCAGGTATTGATAATATGCAGGATGACGCCACCAATAGCTCGGAATCCGGCTTTCAGCATGCGAACGCAGACACTGTCGGTACCGCAAGCACCCGAGCTACGCATACTGAAAATCGTCCGCTCAAGCTCGGCAAGTGTGATTTCTCGAAGTTGAAAACTGCATGCGCCAACACGGGTAAGACGTACATTCAAATCGGTAGGTGCGTTTTGGGCTCGGATCTCGGCAGCGACACGAGGACCGACGGATACAAAGAAAGAATTTAAGTCATTGGCAGATAGGTCAGGCTGAACATCAGGACCATCCTTCTTACCGGCAACCACCGACCTGATACATTGCCAAACTTTGTTGGGGCCCCGTTCCCCGATTTCCCTCTGTAGTTCCACCCGCCGGTCGCGACGCAAAGCCGCCCGGACAGAGCGGTTAAGGGTTTTGTACTCGCTCGAGTTGCGGCCTAAATGGCGGAGCGCAGCGCGACGTTGGGACATGAGATCTCGAGTGGCGACGGAGACGGGAGGAGCAGTCGGGTTACGGATAGACACACGCTTAATTGGGGCATGGGCATCGAAAACAGGTACGAAGAAAGACAAGAAAGCATCCCACTTATCACTGACGATTGACGGATTTGCTTATGATTTGTAATTTATATCCTTGTCGAAAGAACCAGCTACACCATTGCAACAATACTGATACATAGTTATGTAATCTATGTCCTTGTCAAAGGTACCAGCTACACCTTTGCAACACGGACTTATGTTACGCTAGTTAGACGTGTTAGTAGTAACATATACAAAGCTGTTACTTGTTATATAGGTGGCGCCAAAAACGTTTCCGGCCGTTTCAATTTGAAAGTTTCAGTTGCGCACCAACCACCGTGCAGTGATGTGGCCTCCTGCGCACTTCCGTGAAAATGGTAGGTGATAACAGTGTTCGGTCGTTTTTGTCATTTTTTAATGAAATGTATGACTTTCAACTGATAGTAATGCAGATTGAATCAGAGAAATTTGCTAAATAAGTGTGTGATGTATGGAAGCAAGCACAATGTGTTCTGCTCCAGGCCATATTGTTCTGCATATGCTATAGGTAATATAGCGATGCTTTCTTTCAGGCTTTCATCAGGAGCGAAAGCTCCAGCTTGCAAGCAAGGGTCGCTACACTGAAGACAGCAAACTGCAGAAACTCAAGAATTCTAAAAATGAAAAAGCACCTGAATTCCAAGGGGCTAATGAATTTGAATGCCCTTTAGATTTGAATGGGTTCGCCCCTTAAAATTCGCGTTCCGCAGACTTAGAAATAACATATTTCCGAATCAAGGCATTCCTCGATGTTGCGAGTCCCCAAAACCAGTTATTGCGAGGCAGGGAAGCCAAGCTGACTATCAACTCAAACCTACATGTAAACGTGTGATTCTACAGTGTACTCGATAAGTGATGACACTCATTGCCTTTTCGCATGCGTTATTGCCCTTGCCCCTTG